ATGAGGACATGTGGTGGAGTTAAGAAAGGAAAGATTTTGAAACATCACAAAAATTTACAATTTGTTCCATTGTTTCTAGATCAGTGATGTTTCACATATAAATCGACATGTCTGTAACATGTTATGTCTGTAACATGTTTTCTGTAATTGAGAAGGGTGTACATATAAATGAACACGTTGTGTTTGTAATCTATCTTTCACAGCCGCCAAAATGTTTTAACTCTCTCATCTTTCTCTCCATCCATCCATCCATCCATCCATCCATCCATCCATCCATCCTTGATCCTAGCAGGTAACAACTATTCAGAAAATCTTAAGATTATCTCTGAACCTTTTTCGTTTGCAGTCCAAACCTTTTCTTCAAAGAACAGACAGAATTGAACTCAGAACTTCAAAGTAGTTATACTGGGGTCCTGGATTTAGATCTGATTTTTAATTTTTTTTGTATATTCTGAAAGTTATTGAAATTCAATAGCACAGTGGGTAGGGCATTTGCCTTGCATGCAGCCAACCTGGGTTCGATTCCTCCATTCCTCTTGGAGAGAAACTATATGGGGTCCTGGGGTTTGAATTTGGGTCAGCTGCATATAAGGCAAGAGCAGTACCCATTATACCATCACTTTGGCCCCCCCAAAAATTGATTTCAGTAGAGTTTATGAGTGCTTTACTCCCATTATGAACAATAATAATAATATATTTTCCAGAATTAGTTTTAACTAATTTAAACTAATTTCAAAATTAGTTTAAATTTATAGTAGATCATACACTGAGTCATGAATAATATTTGTTACACATTATCGGAGAAAAAAATCCTAATTTTCTTTTCTGGAATAAGGTGGATACAAACACTAAAGACAGACATACTACTTAATTATGGGAAAGCATAGATGCAAAAAAGTAATACTATGATATGTACTTTTTTTTGCTTTTTTGGGTCACACCCGGCAATGTTCAGGGGTTACTGTTGGCTCTGCACTCAGGAATTACCTCTGGCGGTGCTGAGGGGACCATATGGGATGCTTAGAATCGAACCCGGGTCAGCCACATGCAAGGCAAATACCCTACCCGCTGTGCTATTGCTCCAGCCCCTGATATATACTTTTAACATTAGAATTTTCTTCTTAGAAAGATCTATAATTAATTGATTTCCTGGATGAAGATCTCAGGATGGTCTTCTCTCTTTCCATATACCATTAAGTCCATTAGTTTACTGATTTGGGGCTTATTGTTTGAAAGAGGCATTTGAGGTTTCATTTTATTTATAACTAGCAATACTTTAGTTTCATGGAAATACATGTCTGCATATCACTTGTATATATATATTTCCATTAGTGTTTGTATTATCATTGGAATTTGTCTTTGTGAATAGACTCATCCAGGTTGTGCAGTTCACTCACAAGTCAAATTTCTAGCATCTGCTATTTGGAGAGAACTTTATTGCGTACTGGCAGTATTTATAAAGAAGGAGAAATGATCAGTGCCCTCAAGAAATTTATGCTCTTGGGGTTAATTAAAATTTATGAGCAAGTATATAAGCCCAAGTTATTAAAGGATGAATTATTTAATGGTAGCAGGAAGTTTCTAAGTAAAGCAATGGAAAGTTGGTGATCTGGCTGTCAAGGTTACACTAGACTTAACACAGGGATTCTTATTTTCTGTGGGGGAAGCAAAAGGATATTCTGTATACTTAGAGTAGAGATGCATGTAAAGGTGTGTTTGTAGATTAGGGAAGAACTGCTACATGCTGAGCATTAAAACTATGAGAGTAGGAGAACTATACACATACATAAACTGAAAGAGAAACTTTCCTTTTCCATATTGTAACTTTTGATGCCAGGTAAAGAGTCACCAAGAAAGCCAAGTGTTTGCTGTGCGTTTTTCAACTGTGGTCAAGTGAGGATTTAAAATAGGAATTTACAGTAATGGAGAGAAGACACTCTGCTAGAGAGTGTGATGTGGAGATGAGGTATGGGTGAAACCCTATCATGAACAATATTGTAAATCACGGTGTTTCAAATACAAAAATTAAAAAATTAAATCTTAAAAAAATACAATTTTACCATAGCCATGTTAAAACTGGACACTGTGTATTAGAAAGGGTATGAAAGTATGGCAGAAAAAAAGAGTCATAAAGAGAGATGTTCATTGATACTTGGGGAGTTGTAGTATAGAACAAGACTGAGATATGATTTATGTTCTTATTAATTTATATACCAGTGCAAGATCTCAGAGTAAATTTCAAATACTCACAAGGAAAAACAAGTTTCAAGATATTATATTTAGATTTAGTGGAATGAAGAATGTACGTTTCTTCTTCAGTGAGATCCATAGAGAGTATATTGTGCTCATATGAAAAACTAAAGCCAAGCGTGGAGGCAGGAGTTGTAAGGATCTTTGGATAAAATTCCGTAACTCATTAAACTGCAGACATTGGAACCAGTGATTCAATTTGATCAGAGATATGATCAAGGAAGCTTCTGTTAGAAAAATACTGGTTAAATAGCTGAGAATGACTATAACCTGACTGCATATTTTAAAATGAGGGTTAGAGATAGACAAAAAGACTATATGCTTTAACTCCAAGTAGAGAGTATCAATGTTGATTAAAAAAAAAGTTTTGGCAATTTTAAACTTACCAGTCAGTGCTATTGCTATGCTATTTATTGATTAAAAAGAATAGAATGGGAATGATGAATAGCCGGGTTCATCTGTTCTGTCTGAGCATCATTCATTTACTTAAAATGATTTGACCACATCAAAAATAGTTAGCACTTACAGAAATCACACTTGAGATTTTGATCAAATAAAACAAGTCACGGTTACTTGGGAACCATTTCATGAAAATGGTTATAAGATTTTACCTTCCAGGTGAGAAATTGTTATCCTATAAATAGAAAAATATAGAAGCCGAACTGCTCTCTTCTGGAAGAAAAAAGTGTGTGTGTGTGTGTGTGTGTGTGTGTGTGTGTGTGTGTGTACCGAAGAGTAGAAATAACAAAATAAAGCCTTTGGCTTTATTTTTGGAAAAAAATGGTCAAAGGATTTGAGTTTCCTTGACAGTGGAGTGCATTGCTTTGTGAGGTAGTGAATTTTATATTGTAAGAATTCAAAATTAAGTTGGACTATAATTTGGTAAAACATTTTTAAAATACTGATACTAAAATTTTGATTTACTGTATTTTTGAGGTATTATAAAGATTAGACACACTGAATATTTTGAAGATCCAGAACATCTTACCTTTTTGATCATCCTAGTGATGGGGAAATGGAGTACGGTCCTTCCATTTTGCCGTATTAGACCCTTCCCCATTCCTCTCCATTGATCTCTTCCCCCTCCTTATTTTCTCTTTTCCTCCTTATTACTTTTCCTCTTAAGTTCGTTGTTTTCCTTCCTTCACTTTTCCTTGCAAGACAGAAAATCAGTTTTGTGCTAGACGTTTCACTAAGTTTTAGGAATAAAGTGAGGAACAAAACAGACATAAAGTCTGCCCTGGGAATGCCCTCTAGTTTGGAGCTAGAGAAAAATGAATGAATTGGGTCAATGCTGGGAATACACAGGCATATATCCACATTCAGGAAAGAGTGGGGTCTGCCCTGGGAAGGCAGAGTTGGAGGGAGGGAGAGAAAAGGGAAAGAGGGAGAGTGGGTGAGAGGGAGGGAGACTGACAGGGAGAAGTGGGGGTGCAGGGGAGGAAGTGAGAAAAAAGAGTGAAAGGTCATTTAGGAGTGAGGAAAATTTTCAGTTAGAAGTGAGGAAGAAATGACAGAAAAATTTGAGGTTGCAAACGGTAAGTTTTTTTGGGAAAAAAATGTAAGATACTTTTAAGATACTTGTAAAATACTTTTTTTTTAAAGATACTTGTAAGATACTTTTAAGATGAGACTTCTTTTCACTCTATTGAGTGTGGAAGTATTGTTTCTTATTTTTTTTATTTTTCAATTAATTTGAACATTTTAATTGATTATGGCTTCATAACCTATAACCTTCAGTTTAGTTTACTACAGCATTTTCTTTAGTATACATTTAGTTTACTACAGCATTTTTTAGTATAAATTTTTCAGTTGTTCTAATTTTGGAATTAAGTATAAAATTTTTTAACCTTTTGTGTTTTTCATTTGTGAAAGAAAGCTGAAATATGTTTTGATCAACATAAAATGATTAAAAATAAAAGTTAGATATAAAAGCTGCGTTTTTCACAGCTTATAAAGCTATAGATTTTATAAAAATGAGATAGTTGATATTTAAACCAAATTACTCTAATTATATTGATATGATTATAGTTACTGTCTGTATTTTTGCAAGATTCACATCTAAGCTAAATTTTGAATGATGAAAGTCTTATTCATAAAACAAAAATGAGTCCTCTACAAATTATGAATAACTTTACTTTGAAAAAAACCTTGTGGAAATTATTAACTATATAGAGAAATTTTAAAATATAAATATCTCATGTTTCTTTAACTCATCTTTCATAATTCTCAATTATGGCTAATTTTATTTTCTCTGTAATTTCATCCACTCTCCATTCCAAATTATTTTGATAAAAATATCAAAACTTTCACAGCTCTGGGGGTCAGTTGGTGGGTGTGACCCCTGCCTACTAGAACGTGGAGGATCTGGGTGGAGGATGCTCAGTCCCGATCTGAGCAGGCTTGGAGATCTCAGCCCTGGGACCCACATGCCTTTGTTCCTCTGTCGGTACTTTCATGCCTCTGGAGAGTGGTCTCAGCATGGTTGTGGCTGGTTCTGGAGGTCTTCAGCTGCTGGAGCTCTGCTTGGGGCAGGGAAGGAAACTCAATCCATCCCCCTCCAAGGGGCCCCGGCGAGGACAGCCAGTTGCGGGGGCAGGAGAGTGCCCTGTTCTCTTCTGGGAGCTGGGTTTTATAGTCTCTGGAATGTACTTTACTGGAATATTTTATTAATTTTACTGTTACTGCACATTCTTATTCCTCTCTCTATGGCACTGGTTATTTTATATTTGATATTTTTCTTTGACCAGGTTATCAAGGACCCTCCGCCTCCACCACCACCTGCACCTAAAGAGGTAAATGAGTGTCTCCTAGTTAATGTGTACTTATTTTCTATATTTATTTAGTATCCCCAGATTTGATCATCTACATTGCTGGTAACTGTCACCCATGTATTGTCTTTTGAAGATTTGAAAATAAATTCTTATTTTAATCTTCTTTTGATCCCTTTCCTGTGCTAGCGAAATGATTCACACACATTGATAAACATAGACTGTCCGGAGATTTAATTCACCTTTTATAGCACAGTATCTATTGTTCTAATGTTATGATTTTATTTACAAAATGCTAGGAAATAAAAGCTGAAAGTGGAGAGAGGTTATGTCCTTCTCTGAAATGGCCATTACTACTGTTTTACTGTTCGCCAAAATTGGGTTAGCATGAAATGTACTATTGTGTGTGTTATCAAAGCCTCTCAATTACCTTTTTAGTGCAAATGCTGCAAAATTCAAACACACACACATTAAAGCTTTATGTAATTATTGAAATATTGTCATACTAGTTTAGCTTTCAAAATATGAAATGAGAGACTGGAGAGATAGTCCTGTGTGTAGAGTACTTGCCGTCTATACCACAACCTGGATTCATTCCCCAGCACTGCATATTTTCCCCTGAGTACCTCTAGGATTGGTGATCCCTGAGTGCAGAGCTTAGAAGTAAGCCCTGAGCACAGCAGAACGTGGCCCCCAAACCAACAAAATATAAAGATCTGAAAAAATAAACAAGTGGTGCATTAAGGAGAAACTTCTGGTAATCTAGTGACGTAAGAGAGATTCCTAAAATTGTGGAAAGGAAGTGGTCCCTCACACTCTTTAGAATTCCACTAAAATGTATGTGTACAGGCATTCAGATGCCCCATATGTAATTTCAAACAGATTTGTTCTGTAGAAATGTATTATCAATAAAAATGTTTGAAGCTAATTCTGACTTAGTGATATTTTAAGAATTGAGATACACCCAATTTATCTATGTAGGAGGAAGAAGAACCTCTCCCTAACAAGAAATGGCCAACTGTGGATGCTTCTTATTACGGCGGACGAGGGGTTGGAGGAATTAAAAGAATGGAGGTTGGTATCTTTAAAATAAATAGAAACTGCTATTCTGGAACTTTTATTTATAGAACTATTAAATCATCTAGTAACTGTATTTTTCTCAATTCAACATAATTCATTATTATCCTGTGGATTCTTTCTAGTCATTTAAAAACTGTTCAAGAACTGATTTCATTAGTCAAAGGACTGCATTGAGAAGATATCTGAAATTTAAAAGGCCAAGTCAAGTTAGATCTTTTCCTACTTAAAATTGCAACAAAGCTTGTCCTTGGAAATGACAATGTAGTGTTTGAAAAAAAATTAAAAATATTCAGTGGATATGTCCTTATCCCTAATGCATAGAAAGCACATTTAAGACTTTTTATTGTTTTAAGAAAATAGCTTTTAGTTATCACTTATGAGTGATCATAGTTAATGCCAAACACTGTTTATAGAACGTTTTGAACTACGAGACTGCTTCAAGTGTGTATTAAAATTGAAATTTAGTAGTATGCCTTTAAAATCAAACTAGGTTTCCTTTGTTCCTTAGAATATCCTTCAAACTTAGTTCCAGCACTGAACCCGCAACACCACAATGGGCGGGCAGCATATTCCTCTCCATAAGAAGGAAGGAGGGGAATTTCCTCACTCGCTACCGATTTTATTAATAAATATACATCCTGGCATTTCCTCTTTATTTAGTGATCCTTCCATTTTTCTTCTTTTTTAAATTTTTTTTAATTAGTGAAACACCATGCGGTACAGTTGTAGACTTACAAGTTGTTGTGTTTGGGTTTCAGTTATGCAATGATCAAGTACCCATCCCACCACTGGTGCCCATTCTCCACCCCACCCCATTTTTCTTCTTGAGCATGAGTTTGTGTGTTTTACAATCAGTGCACATGCCTCCTACTGTCAGATTTGCTTTGTCCTCCCTAGTGCCAGCAGAAATCAATAAACTAATTAGCAAACCTCACAACTGTTCGGTTTTTCTGTTTTTTATACGTAGTTCAATGAACTTCAGATTCTCAAGGAAAAAGTCTTCTTGTTTCCGAATTAATTTCAGTGCTCTTCACAGTTCGCTTAGTCCTTCATCAGAGTAGTTATTTAGGTCATCTGATACTGATTCTCCCTTTCCTGACCATACTGAACCTTACATAGCGCACATGTTTCCTGGGAGTTGCCTCTTTATTGCAGGCAAACCCTTTGAGACCAGTCCCTTACTGCTAACAAGCCCTGGGCGAGGCAGGTGCTTGAGCTACTGCTTTAACTCTTATAGAAGAGACAGCATATGTTTTTGCACGCAGGGTAGTGGGACTATCACCCAGGACACAAAAGCATGGCAGCTTCGCTCTTATTTACCATGAAAGGAAGGTCACGTCCGTTGTGCTTGTGCAGCTCTGAAATTGAAGGGATGGGAAAGTAGGTTAGATGTTTCTATGTGTATAAAAATATTGTAAATTAAATTGTCACATATGGATATCTAAATATGATGTGTCACATCTTAATTTTAGTTTATTGAGCCTCATTCCAAAATGTGTATGTAAAAAGATGTATGCGAGGGGAAATAAAGATTTCACAGGATATCTACAAAGTGTTAGGAGCTTTCTCTGAACGGAGTGATTTTCAATATGTTATGTATTTCCCTATTTTTTTTCCTAACTTATTTTACAATAAGCAGGCACTACTTTATATCTGGAATAAATCTGACTCTGTTTTGAAGTCTGCACATGTAAAATACCATATGACAAGATAGGGATATATGAGAATATGAACTTTATAGGAGTAAATGTTCTTATTGAAAACACTAGGCAGAATGCCAGGTATTTATTATAGTCCAATATTCCAGTGTTTCAAAGATTGAGATCTTATCCTGAGTAAAAGAAAATATAAAAACAAGGAAATGAATACACCCCAATTTCAAAGAAATATTATTGGTTCCTATTCAACACAGACAATAACTCGAGTGCATTTTTGAGTATCTCACATTTTAGTTTTTGAGAGTTATTAGATGTAAATATGCGAAACTATATTATCTATCCTTTTTTCAGTTGAAGACAGTTTATGGAAAGGACACAACTGCTTTGAATAAATCAGGATCTATTTTAGCCTTGGATAATTTTAGCTATGTTGTATGAAGTATTCCATCCATGAGATGAAAATTGAGAATGAGTTAAAAATGAGAAAGGAAATGTAGGCATCTAAAAATCAAATCAGAATAAATAAAAATTACAACAAAATTTCAACAGAAATTTTGGTTTCTTTAAATTTTCTCAAACATAAAATTATTTAATCTTGGACAGAGAAAATAGAAACATAGTTTGTTATAAAATCATGGCTATTCAAACTTAGAAAGTATTTCCTTTAAAAAATACCTTTAACTGGAAATGTGAAATGAACTATGGAAATTTTAAGTACATGAAAATTATTGAGAAAATCTTCATGACAAATGTTATTCTAGGCCAACATGAGGATTTAACCTAGATTTTTTTTTCTTACTCTTCCTTTATTTTAAAAAAATTTTTTTTTCGTTTTTGGGGTCACACCCGGCAATGCACAGGGTTCCTCCTGGCTCATGCGCTCAGGAATTACCCCTGGCGGTGCTCAGAGGACCATATGGGATGCTGGGAATCGAACCCGGGTTGGCCGCGTGCAAGGCAAACGCCCTACCCGCTGTGCTATCACTCTAGCGCCCTTTACTCTTTCTTTAAATTAAATATTTAAACATGATAGTAATGGCAGTTTGCAGAAAGCTGGAGTGGAGCTGATGTTAAAAACAGCTGTTAGCACAACAGATCCACATTACCTAATGACTTCAAATGTGTACTTCTGCTAGTTTAGAGTGAAAAAGTTTTCATTTCTTTTCTCAATTCTGAAATTGTTTCTTTTTGGTACACCCTTCTAGTCATCCAAATATGCTTTGAAAATGTTGAAATTCCATTGTTTACCATGAAAACTAAGTAGAGTCAGAAGGATCTGTGAAGTAGGCAATGATTTCTCTCCTCCCAGTTAGAAGGCCGAGTATATTGTCTTGATTCTGCTGAGACTTCCGTTAGTAATCTATATCTGTTCTTTTTTTAACCTTTTTGGTAATATCATTGTGGTCAAATTAAAATGCTAAAATTTGTATAGGTATACCATTTGGCTTACAAGTTTTAGGAAAACTCTATACAAGATTTTCAGGTTTTGGGACTGAGTTTTAAAAGATCACGTTTGATGATTGCCACCCATAGCCTCTTTTGCAAACCACAACAGCCAATAGGAGAGAGAGAGAACAAAAGGGAATGCCCTGCCACAAAGGCAGTGTAGGATAGGGGGGGATGGAGGGTGGGAGGGATACTGGGATCCGTAGTGGTGGGAAATGGGCACTGGTGGAGGGATGGGTATTTGATCATTGTATAGTTGAAACCCAAGCACAAAATTTGTAGGTCTGCAACTTTACCTCATGGTGTCTCACTAATAAAAATTAAAAAAAAAAAAAACCAATCTAAATCATAAAAAAACTAAAGAAATGATATTGGAACATAAAAAAAGATCATGTTTGAGGTAATGATAATAATGATAACGTAATAGTAATTTCATGAAATAAAACAAATAGATTTAATGAATTTTCTTTATACCTTAGCAATTATATTTCATAAGTGTTATCTTTTAATAGTGAAGTTCCAAGAAATGCTACAGAACTCAAGTTTAATTTAGCTTCATGCTAAAAGAATGTTACTGGTAATACTTAGAGGTTGAATAGAATTACCTTTATTTCTATGGGATCTGACATTATCTGAAAAGTCTAAGAAATTTGAATATATATGTATTTGTGTACATATATGTAAAAACATATGTTAAGATTCTTAATTTATGAATGCATCTAAATTTTAATCTACTTTTTTTTGTTTGAATTGCTTCTTTGAGTTTTGACACTCATGTCCTTAATTATAGGTGTTCTATTTTTCTTTCTGTTCTTTTTTTTTTATTTAAAATTGAGACTTTGGAACTTCAAGTATATATATTCTGGTTTGAGACACTTTTTCTTTTTAAGTTCAGTGTCTATACCTAAGATTGTATAAATTTTATTTGGTCTAAATGGAGACAGTGATTTGAAAGAGAAGGTCATTTCTATGGAAAGAAAGCCAACTATCTAGCTCTAAAGGTTTAATGGTGTTAAAACAGTTTTAATAACCTCATAAAGAACATTCTAGTACCACTGATCACACTGAAAGACACAGACACATTTTAATGACTCAACAGGGTACACTTGAAATTGAAAGTCTGTTCTAAAATTGTAGTAAAAAGAGGTGAAAACATCTAAGTAAGCCTTATCAAAAAGCCATGAATATTTCTTACTCTGAATGGTAATCATCTCTATCCTTTTCCTCTATCTCAGGTCATTAAAATGCTTTAAAGGGTATTTAGTGTTTCTTCTTTTCAGAAATCATTTAACTCTGGAGAACCACAGTATGCCCTGGACAAGTTGTTGTATTTCCGTTTAGAGCTTCTCTTACATTAACTTTGCTATCTTTGGCAATGTCTTTGGTATTTGTGAATTCCACATTGACCCTGACTTGACAAAGACTTTCTCCAAGGATTTTATCCAAGGACTTCATCCTGCTTTCATGTCTGTATGTGAAAAAGTTTGACTCAGGTTTGGCCCTGAATCTCTCTCTGTTCACTGGAAAATAAAGAAAACAGTTTTTTGACCCTGTGGTTTTCAATATTCAGAGTTCGAAGAGAAGGGAATTCCCTGGGATCCCAGGAATTTTTCTTTACAAAGCAAAGCTTTATCAGATTTGACTTCCTTCATGAAAATTGATTTTATATGTAACCATACTTTGATGAGTATGGGAGCTAAAAACAGTTACTTTACAAATAGAAACTTTACAAAAGTAAGGAAAAATTATATATAATTGTTTTACTTCTAAAAGCTTAATGTTTAAGTCATACTTTATGCCATAGTGAAACTTAATGAAAAATTTGGAAAGGGCAATTAACTCCTTCATGTACAATCCAAGGGTACTTGAAATTAATTCATTCATAATGAAATGAATAAATCATTCATTTCAGACTACTTACATTCAAACCCATACGGTGACACTTATCAATTATATGGCTTAAACACTTTCCTTAACTTATATGTGGCTTACTTTCATTATCTGGAATGAAAAAATAACGTACATCTAAATATATTTTCATGTGGATTAAATTAAGATTGGCACATTGTAGTCAGTTCAGTAAATGGCTTCATCGTTATTATAATCCTTACCGCTAGTGGCAACAGAAGTATGAGTATGTGTTTAGTTAAAACTGAAAGATACCCCTATTTAAGAACTGAATTATACCCTAAATATAAATAGATGTGACTAACATACTACTCATTATTTGAAACAATGGAGAAAAAATGGTTGTTTCAAAAGTAATTGATTCCAGATGTTTGCAGAGTCTGCTCCTGCCAGCAACACACACACACACACACACACACACACACACACACACACACACACACACACACAGAGTATTCAGTACCTAAGGAGTGGTGAGAAATTTAGTAAATTTCAGAAGAAACGTAATGCATGTACTCATTCTCATCTTCCTTCAAGATGGTGAAGCAAAGGACCAATCATTGCCCAAACAAGAGCTTGGGCCTCTAGCTTGTTTTGACAGTGTGTCTGAGACAAGTGTTTCCCTTTTGTTTCAAAGGTTCGTTGGGGTGATAAAGGATCCACAGAGGAGGGCGCAAGGCTGGAGAAGGCCAAAAATGCTGTCGTAAGGATACCGGAAGAAGCAGAGGAACCTGTCAGACCCAAACCACCAAGGCCCAAACCGATACACCAGCCCCCTCAGACGAAGTGGTACACACCAATTAAGGTAATTGTTACGATCCTGTTTGATTTAACAGAATCTTCCTAGAGAAACTGACGTGTGTGTGTGTGTGTGTGTGTGTGCGCGCACACGCGCACGCTTACTACTCTCCTTTCAAGGGAGATTAGGGTGCATCAAAGGACAATCAGTTTATGTTTGAATGCCTTTCTTAGCAGCCATAATCTTATTTTTTGTGATTTTTCTATTAATTTATGAAAGATTTGAGAGTAGGGAATAAAACCGTATCCACTTTCTCTGAACACTACATTTATGTACCAAATAGAGGTTGAGTACATTTCCCTGAGAATTTCCAAATTGTGTTTTCCCTTAGGGCCGTCTGGATGCGCTCTGGGCATTATTGCGTCGCCAGTATGATCGAGTGTCCTTGATGCGACCTCAAGAAGGAGATGAGGTTTGTATGTGGGGTTGTGTTGGCAAAGAGCCGATGGCTTGGGTCAGCATAATGAAGGTAGTGCAATAATAATAAAAAATAATCTAAAGATCTTACTACACGGTGGAAAGGATTAATGTGTCAATTCCTTGTTACTTAGGATGCGTAAAAAATTATCTATTGTTAAAATACATATTCCAGCTGCAGTTCAACACCCGTCCCTTTTCAAGGAATGCATTTAAGATGGACTGGTTTGGATGGCAGGGGGATGGTACAGCGGGTACAGCCTTGCCTTACCTGAGGCTGGTGGGGTTGGACCCCTAGCATTCTGTATGGTCAGGCAGTGATCCCAGAGCGCAGAGAAGGGGTAACCTCTGAGCACCACTGGGTGTGACTCAAAAACCAAGAAAAAAAGTTCTGGTATTTAAAAGCATTCTTTAATAAGCCTATTGCTTCAATTTGGCTTAAAGGGCATCACAGTGAAGGTTTTACTCTGGGGTATCTATCAGGATCAGTTGTTGTAGTCTTTCTTTAATATTTAGTAGCAACAAGACCCAGGGAAAATGCCTCAAACCATCTTTTATTTTTCTAAAAAATCATTGATTGAAGTAACATTGGTTTCCAATAGTATATAGGTGGTAGCCTTATAAACAACATTTGTATATATACATATTTATATTTTATACAGCATTTTATATTGTATATACATATTGTATATCGTACATATGCATGTACTTTCACCATCAAATTCTAGTTTCCATCTATTACCAGCATACAGTTGAACTTGCCTTTAGTTTTACTCATTGCCCCTTTTCTCTTGTAACTAGTCTTGTTTTCTGTAGTTTCAGGCTTTGTGTTTGCTTTTTAATTTCTTATCTTATACATCAATGTAAAATCATAGTTTAGTTGTCTTTCTCCATATGACTTGTTTCACTTAGTGTAATGTCCTAATTATGCTTAGTTTTATCCAGGTTGTTGTTAACAGCAGAATTTTAATTTTTTCATAGCTGAATAGTGTTCCTTTATACACACACACAAATTCGCATATATACCGCATTGTATTCTCTTACTGTTGATGAACACTTTGGTTATTTCCAGTTCTTGGTTATTGTAAATAATACTACAGTGGACACAGGGGTGCATGTGCATCTTCAAATTTCTTGTTTCCATATTCTTCAGAGAGAGACTGGGAAGTAAAACAGCTGGATCATATGGTATTTCAGTTATTGATTTTTTGAGATATTGTTAATACTGTTTCACATAATGCAAATCTTTCTGTTTGATACAATAAGTATTTTCCTGTTTCCAACAGCTGCTGTAATATAATTGATGCATAAATGATATGTCTTTAAATATCTAAACATTATATAATTTCTAGATAAGCAAACATGTCTTTAAAGTTATAAACATTAGCTCTTTCCTTTCTGGAGAAGCCTGCAATCTCTTTAACTACAACTCTCTCTCTGTCTCTTTCTCTCTCTTTCTCTCTCTCTCTCTCCATGTTTCTCTAAAACTAGTTTACTTCAAAAAATAAAATTATAAATATTATAGTAATCTGAAGTGGTGAGATACACACTTTCCTGTGTGTATAATACACAAAGACACACTTGTGTGTAAATGTATTTTCCTCATATTTTTCAAATATTGGAAGCCAGTTTTGATTGGAAATTTTATTTTTTGCGATTTGGCTTGAATTACTCTAGTTTTGCCATTTCTATACTATATTAGCACTATATGTTTTTGTACTAATATAAGAAAAATTACTTCAAACTTCTTCATATGTAACAGTGGAAGGGAAGGTCTGTTTCAGAGAGACACCTCTGTTCATAGTAACAACAGGTTTGTTCATATGTTACCATGTGATCATCATTCTCTCTCTCTCTTTTCTTTTTGGGTCACACCCTGCTCAGGGGTTACTCCTGGCTCTGCACTCCGGAATTATTCCAGGAGGTGTTCAGGGGACCATATGGGGTGATTGAACCCAGGTTTGACTGCATGCAAAGCAAATGCCCTACCCACTGTACTATCACTCCGGCCCCAACATTCTCTTTCTAACATATGCATGATCTCCACTCATTTCAGTTTCAGAGTAAGACCTTATGCTCTGTCAGGTCCTTTAGGCTTATGTTTTTAAAATATTAAAATTTTTTAAAATTTAAAAACATCTATTCTAGCTTAGTGTAAAACAAATGAAATACAAATTTCAAATCTAACCTAATGAAATACAAAAAAGATTGTCTAAATCTTAAGATTTTACTTTTATGAAATGGGGATAATTTTTAAAACATGTGAATTTAGTAAATTTATTTAAAATAATATTCTGAATATTCTCAGCAGATCATTTGCTAGGACTCTATACAGAAAGAAGTAGGTGTTTTTTCAATTAGATTCTTGTTACCAGGCAGTGCAGTTAATAGAAAACTCTCATATTTAATGAAATTTGTTTGCTTTTGCTTAAAATCATGTTGTATCTGTAGTTCTGCATCTAAAATAATATATAATATATATAACCTATATATAATATCTCTAGTTACTTTTCAGTGTGTTTGACCATTATGTGTTTTAAAACAATTTTATGTCTTTAAAAAGATTTTAGCATAATTTTCAAACAGCTCTGTCCCTTCCCAGGTTATACAGTTGTTCAATAATTTTCACTGTTGTAGGATTTTCACTAAGATTGTGCTGGTAGCGAAATGGTATTGGCCAGAAAAAAACCAATAGTGGTTCCAGCATTCTTGCCTATGTTTTATGATGTTTTTTGACTCTCCTGATGAAATTGAATTTTCAGTCTTTCATTGTTCCTAGTAACTTTGGTTTAATTCGATAATCTATTATAAATATGCATAAGTAATAGCACCAGGTCTTACTGAGGGGTGGAAAGAAATTGTGGTTCTTGATTCTAAGAAATCTAAATTTTGGGGGCTGGAGCAATAGCACAGAGGGTAGGGCGTTTGCCTTGCACGCAGCTGACGTAGGTTCGATTCCCAGCATCCCATATGGTCCCCCGAGCACCGCCAGGAGTAATTCCTGAATGCATAAACCAGGAGTAACTCCTGTGCATCACCAGGTGTGACCCAAAAAGCAAAAAAAAAAAAAAAAAAAGAAAAAAAAAGAAATCTAAATTTTGGAAAGCAAGACATATACATTTTTTTTTTTCCGAATGTGATCTGGGTCCTTAGTAGGTATGTATCAGGCACTTGAATGTATAGAGGATGAGAGATGAAATCCTCCCCAGAGGAATTGGGAAACTCTGTTTCAACATTTTAGGCTTCTGTTCTTAAAAATGCATAGATTTCTTGAGGTGGAATTGGGTGAAATGATCATTTCATTAATGAAGCATCATCACCAGTTCTCCAACGCAGCCAAAACCCCAGTGATTTGTGGATTACCAATAGTCTTGGAGTTAAAGTTAAAACTTGAATAATAGAACAAGAACAGAACAGAAGACATCTTTAAGTTGGACCAATGAATGTATTTGAATTCTGTGCAGTGCTTGTGTCAGTCTGTTTAACAGATATTTTTCTAGTGCTTTACATGTGCCAAATACTTTGGGAGATAACAATTACATTTACCATTCTTCCGAAGTTACAGTACTTAATATTGTCCCAGCAGATTCCATCATTACTCATTCTTTTCATGATCGGAGGATAATGCTTTTCATTATTTTGACCAAGAATTCTTTACCAGTTTTATTATATTTTGTCTGATATAGTCCCAAAGACTTTCCCTTCCTCTTTCATTAAGGTACCGGGATTCACAATACAATTAGTGATAGTTTCATATATACGGTTCCAACAACACAGCCACCATCAGAGCCCAGTTCTCCACCAATATCCCAAGGACCCTGCCATCACTCTACTCTGCCTTCCCCTTCCACAGCCAGACCCAGATGATCTCAGTTTTGTAGACCAATTCTTCAGTTCTGTTGCCTTTGGTCATCTGTTGCTCCCTCACTGTGCTTCTTTCTTTCCCACATATGAGAGAGATTATTCTCTATTGGCTCTCCTTCTGACTGACCAATGCCTATTTTTTAATACTTGAATAAGATTTCTTCAAAACTCAGATTGTTTTCAGATCCTAAGGGTGTGATATAGTCCCTAAATCAGTTACTAAATAATGCATCATTCTTTCTTTCTCTCTGTGTGTGTGTGTGTGTGTGTGTGTATGTGTGAGTGTAGACAGAGAGGTGGGGTGTTGAGACACAGCTGGGCTATATCTAGCTCTGGGCTCAGGACTGACCACTGGCAAGGCTCAGGAGGTCAAATGCTGTCCTGGGGATCAATCCAGGTTTGACGCATTGCAAGGCAAGAGCCTTAATCCCTGTATTATCTTTCTGGCTCCCACGTGGAACCTCTTGATCACATTACTGAAACATTCAGCCACAGGAACATTAATGACAAGTGGATAAATACACATTGTAAACAGTGTAAAATGAGTTCAGGCCAGGTATTGCTTCCAAAGTAATTTGCAGGTCAAACTTAGCACAGAGCTTTTAGTCTTCAAGTATTTTGTATTTAAAATATCTAGGCAAAGTAAGTAAGACATTTATTGTGCATGATTAGCTAAAAGTCCACCTTATCCACTCAGTATATATGTATGTTATGTTTATTTTGTTTTACTTTGAATGTAAGTTTAGAAGCATTAATTATCGGTTGGCATTTTCTTCATCATATAAGTGTGTGTATGTGTATATACATATATATAATACCTCTAGTATAGTGTATATATACTATATTTTTATACTATATATATTATGTATTCTCTTATACACACACACACATATATATAATTTGCACTCCATGACTTATTTCAAATGACCCAAAACCCAATTCCATGAGAACCTGTCCTTCATGGTATGAAGCTCACGACACTCAACAATTAATTTACATTAGTATGGTAAAACGAGGCACTTATCACACCATACAATTTCCTCTCTTATTTATATGGACATTTATTTTATTTTGTGGAATTATTTGCTGAATTTAAGGTTTTAAGATATTTTAATAAATCCCCTCTTCAAC